CTATTAGACCTTGGATGTCTGTAGTTTACAGGTATGCTATTACAACTAATCGTTTTGCTCTGAAAATAACCATATTTTATAATTTCTATGGCTTTTTTAAACAACTTCTTGATTTGTATGTCTATTTTGAATTCTGATTTAGGTGGCTCTATGATTTCAATTCTCGTGAGTACTTTTACGATGGTTCATCATATGGCACCCAACATACCCTTCAAAACTTCTGAGGATATCTTCAATGAAATTAGACTACATTTTCAATTATCCTTTTCTTTGACATTTTGATGACAAACACCATATAGTTTAACCATCTGATTATGAAATGAAAGTATTCCATCGAGGTGCATTTCTGGTCATGGTCATGTATTATGTTAAAGTCCTTTAACCTAGAAGATGAAAATAGATGAATGTTTTCCTTTATCTCGATTAATGCCTCAACTTTCTGGACAACACCATCAATATAAACCTAAAAAGATATCACCCTTGGTTCTCTCTTGATTTAGCAGAGATAGTTCATCTGTTAAGTTTGTTTTGGTAAATAACAATAAACCTTGCCCAAATATTCATCTCACTTATAGCTCACTCAAATGTTGCATCAAGAATTTTGATTGTATTTGTATCATATTTAAGTGCTTTACAGGTTCACTATATAAACCAAGTTCGAGCTCTCTTTCTCCTATATAAAATAAACGCAATGAATCATATTGTTGCAATGTGTTTTGTTGTGTATTTTATACTAAGCTCCATCCAACTGCTATGAAGTCTTCCAAAGTAAGCAGAGTTATTGTCATTCCCTTATCTTGCTTTCTTATATATAGTAACATACAACAGGAGGCCTTTTTCTGATTTTTCACGTTTTTAGTGTTGTTCATCTTCATTTTTGCCCTTAAAAGCAAGGTATAAAGGTTGAAATGAATTTCAAAATGATAAGTCTGCAGTTCCCTACATAGTTGGGATGGGGCACAGGAAAAAAAGGTATAAAGGTTGAAATGAATTTCAAAATGATAAGTCTGCAGTTCCCTACATAGTGGGATGGGGCACAGGAAAAAGAAATGTATATGAGGCAGAAACTTTTGTCAAAATTGATGATGTTAGACTTTTGTAATTTTAAAATCAGATGCACATCTGAATAAACTATGGTCTTGATGTTATGGGGATGCCAAATGATGTCATTAATGTAACTTATTTTTAAGTTCTACTTTTTGAGAATGCTGGTGAGACATTCCAAGCAAAAGTCATGTATCTGCAAGAAATTGATACTGAAACTTAGAGGTTGAGCATTGTGAAGTGGATAAATTTCATGTAATGAGGAATTCTGAGAAATCATTTTCTTTTGTAATCAAGATTTTAACCTGATAATGTTGGTAGCATATATTTGTACTACACTTTATTGTGCTCTCTTTGTGGTTGATCTGAATCATACTACATCCGGTAGAAAATGGTTAAACAACAAGTGGTAACACTGAGTCTGCATACAAGTCATTCTTCACATTAGATCAATTGCCAAATTATAAAAATGTAACCTCACAAGGTACTAAAAAGAGATAACAAAACCTTATAAAGAAGCGTATAAGAGCATTAGTATACAAGCTTTATTGTTCTTTTTTTTTAGAATGAAAAGAAAACAGAGATTGAAAGAGCAAAAAAGGGATTTTTAATGTATCGGCCGGAAAAGGGAATGATGGGACCAAAGTTGGCAATAGCAGTTTTGAGTCTCACTATTAAATGTCCTTTTACTAAACAAACAAAAACAATGCAATCATAGAAAACTCTTCATTAATATATTACCCATGTCAACATTTCTATTTGTTGCTCTGCTCTGTTCTTATGTGGGTTTTTTTTCTTCTTGTGAGGATATTGATTTATTGGATGGAGGAGACGCAATAAAAATATCAACTACTGATTTTGCCAAATAAAATTTGTGACTTAATTTATTGTGATTGATTTGGAAAATTACATTGATGATTTGCTTGGCTTTGTATGAATGCATAGTAATACATACAATAACCATTCACAATATATTTTTACCAAGCTTGACAATGTTTCCTACCAACATTATTTAAAATGAATGATAGTGTATCTCAGTAGTTTCCTCAATAAATGAGGAAGCTATGCTTTATAAATTATGATTATTCAGAAATATTTATTGCTATTTCAGATATCAGTCATATTTTTAAGATAGATTTAAACAAATAGAATTATATCATAATTTAAAATGTTGGGCCCGTGCTTAGCACGGGCAAGAACCATCTAGTATAAAATATATATTTCATACCCACCAGAAAATTTGATGTCTCTTTATTTTCAAATGGAACAAAAACACATATTTATAACATGCAATGAGATGGAGTATTAGAAAAGTACATTCTCGATTCCATGTTGTGAAGAGGAATCTAGGGCAAAATTATTCTACAAAGCAAGATGTTTCCAACAATTCAGAGTATAAATAGGAAAACTGTGAACTTACCCCAAGAGGATATGAAATCTCCATTGAATCCATTTGATACCAAACTCAGCTTCTCTACTGGGCCGAATTTTGTCAATATCTGGACAACAACATTCAATTATAAAATTTAAAAATCTCTAAAATGAATTTAATCCATTTATCAAGGCTAGTAGAAGATACAATCCCAATTAAAATGAAATAAATTCAGAGAGTTCAAGATGGAGAAGCCCAAAAATCATACAAAAATTTACAAGTACAAAACCCTAAAATCGAAAGCATAAGGAATAAAGAGATTAAAAAAAAATCAATAGAAGAGAATAAGAGAAAGAGAATCCCACAAACCTTTGAAATCTAAAGCATCAAAGCACTGAGACTCAGTTTTTCTCTTTGAGGGGTGTTGGTGAGGCCTTGAGGGTACACGTGGTTTGATGAAAAAAGTAGTGCAATTACACGTGTTGAATGGAAAAGACCAAAGAAATAGATGCAATTTTAATCCAACACAGCTTTACAGTACACTATATGTTGCCTTGCTTAATTGGCTTATAAACAAGGTTAATACCAAAAATTAAGAAAAAATGCTTTCTAACGCATCAAGAGTGGGATGACCAAGCCTTCCAAATCTCACGCGACCCCACCGACCCAAAGACCACCACAACCGCCAGAATCACCAGATACAAACAACCACCAGATGGAGGACGGATACAAAACTCAATCCTTCAAAGATACATTACTTGATAGAAAATAGTGCTCTGAATCAATCCTACGACATGTTCAAAGAACATGACGCTACGATGGAAGAAAACCAATGTGTGCAGGGAGCAATCTCACTGACTTTGGAAGATAAAATCAGGCTATATCAACCTAGGTGCCTCTCCGTGATAGTAAAATCTTTTGGTAAACGCCTATCCCATGGCTATCTGAAAAATAAACTAGCAGACCTATGGAAGCTGGCTGAACCGCTGATTCTAATAGATCTCAGAAACGACTATCACATAGCAAAATTTTCACAAGTCCAAATCATGAGTAAAGTCCTCCACGAAGGGCCATGGTTCGTAGCGAGACAGTTCCTATCAGTGAGAAGATGGGAACCGAACTTCCCCCATAACAATCAACCATAACCCACACTGCGATTTGGGCAAGGCTACTGCAACTCCCAACAAAATTCTATGACAAAACAATCCTAGAAAAAGTCGGACAACGACTGGGAGCCTTGCAAAAAATTGATACTTGCACTTCGGCAACCCTTAGAGGATGCTATGCTAGGATATGCGTCCAAGTACCATTGGAGGAGCTAGTCAAAACGGAGGTAACAATTGGAAGCCAAAAACAGATGGAAGTCTATGAGGGCGAATGGGTCATGTGCGTAAAATGTGGAAGGATAGGTCATACACTCAGGAACTGTACCACACTCACCCCAATCAATCCTATCGATACAAATGAAATGACAACCACAGCTGTAAGAAGCGAAGCAGAGCGACAAGCTAGCGAATGGGAAATTGTCTCCTTTCCAAAAAGAAAGAAGAAGACTGAATCCCAAATCCCTCGTAGAGCGGGGGAAAGCAAACCCAACGTAAGACAAAGGCCATACCAGGTAAAAGAACATGATCCCCACCCAGGTACATCCTCCGCCACTGGCACCTCGGCTACCCCCTTAGGAGGCGACCATATAATTAATCAGAAAAAAACAAAAATTTCATAATCATTAATTACATTAATAAATCAACCCCCTCCTTTACTCCCCACCTAACTGTTCCTTAAATTCCACTAATCCCCTTCCCACTTCTCCAAGGAATGAAACTGAAAAGAATCAAAGTAAGTCAAAAATTCCTTTTGTTACTGCCAGCCAAGCTAATTTAATTACCAATGGGACCCAAATAATTAAGACCCCAGCAGTTTCTCCGGAGATCGCAAGGGGCATCGTTCCAGCTTCCCACGAAAATCATCATCATATCGGTGATTTGACACTGGGTGTCGCATAAAAAACTCCTCTGCTACCAGTCCAGCCATGGATAAAGAGAGTGAGCGAAGGAACATTTCCTAGAACATACTTTAAAAAAACTCAGAGCTATGAATCCCAATTCCCCCACCACCGAACCACTGATAGCTAAGATAATCAAGGATGGAGTGGACCAGGCTATAGCCAGTTTGGGGAACCAAATTTGGATGCAATCACTGAGAGAGACACAACGATGGGGGAACATCAATACGATGTCAATGGAGGAGCTCAATGTCATAATGGGGCACACTTTTCAGTTGCTACCTTACTTTCCTTCCCACCCATACCTGACCAGCTCTTAGAGCCCCACGTTTAGACATCCTGAATGCAATCTACTTGCAACCACCACCGGTTGTGACCCAAGACCAAAACGAAGGGGGACACTCAATCCTAGAAATGCTTAAAAGAAACAACTAGGAACTGGAAGATATTGTGATCATGCTTGGAGAACAAAACACAAAAACATGCATCTTGGAGAAACCATTCTTCAAGGAGTTCGAGGACCCCAACAACAGTGTGATAATTGCACTATGCCCACAGACAATGAAATAATGCACACCGAGCATGAGGAACGAGATCGCAACATCGCCGATAGCAGTGGAGCTGAGCCCAATGGGAGCACAACCTCAGGGGAGCAAGCAGAAGAAGGGGAAAGGCATGTAGGAGCAGGAAACACCACTATCACTGATGATGAACTTCATCATTTTGAATGCAAGGGGAGCCAATAGTGCAACCTTCAAGCGCCAATGTTACACAATGGTCAAAGCACATAAGCCAGCAATGCTTGTGCTTCTTGAAACTAAGATGACTGAGCACAAAAGCCTCACTAAGGAACTAAGGTTCGATGCTGAAATCCAATCACCAACAAATGGCCTTACGGGGGGGATAGTGGTGATATGGAAGGAGGACGCTCTGAAGCTGGAGAACCTCATAGTAACGGCTCAAGGTATCCACATCACGGTCAAGGTACTCCCCAACTCCTACTCTTGGAATTTCTCTACTATTTATGATAGTCCTGATTTTAATACTAGGACCCTCCTCTAGGAAGAGCTTTGTAACCTCTCTGCTAGCATTGATAGAGAATGGCTCATTGGGGGTGACTTCAACGAAGTCCTCAAAGCTATTGAGAAATTAGGAGGCTATTGTATTAAAAATAGTAGAAGCAATCTCTTCTGGGATTGCCTCAATAAGTGTGAAATGGTTGATTTAGGCTTTAAGGGATGCAAATACACTTGGACCAATAAAATATATAGGAATATGAGCAATCTTATCCTAGAAAGACTTGATAGGTGCGTAGCTAACTACCATTGGGTAAAACGATACCCCAATTCCCTTGTTACCCACCTTCCTAGAACAAAGTCAGACCATTGTCCCATGATGCTTGAGCTGGACAACACCCACACCTATAAAGGCCTAAAACCTTTCTGAATGGAACCCATGTGGTGTACTCATCCTTCTTTCCAAAGCCTTGTCCACTAATGTTTCACTGAACAGGAAAGTCTAGGGAATGCTATCAAAAGCTTCCAAAAAGAAGCAACCAACTTGAACAAAACTATCTTTGGAAACATCTTCTCAAAAATGAGAAGAATCCTTGCTAGACTCGATAGGATCCATAAATCCAACACCTACCATCTTAACCATTACCTCTATGACCTAGAATAATCCTCTCTCCTTAAAAAATATGATGAACTCTTACTTTCTGAAAAGGAATTTTTGAAAACAAAGTCTAGAATAAGCTGGCTAAGTGAAGGAGATGCTAATACAAACTTCTTCCACAATAGCACCATCCAAAAGAGAAGGAAGAACCGCATCCTCTCAATCAAGGATGACTATGGAAACCTAATTGAGGACCACGACCTCATTAGGAGCCATATCACCCTTTTCTTCCAAAAGCTCTACACTACAGAGCAACAATTCTCCTAGAGGGACACCTCCCAAAAT